CTATAGTTGCTTTCCCATCAAATCAAAGTGTGTTCATTAAAAGTCACTTCAGACCACTTATACCCAGGGTTTGTGTTTTTATAATCACATAATTTAATTAAATCTTGTACAAAACAAGAAAATATGCATGGGCAGAAGATATCGTTCTTTGAAAACTAATTTAAATGCTCTTTTCATGAAGACTTGATGAAGGTTAAGGCTTCAAAACACAGAAAACAGTATGCAAAAACTAAATAGACAAAATCAGTGTGAAATTTTGGAAAAATAATGAAGACCTAAAGGGTGAAGAAATGCTCTTGCTTCGTAAGAGTCTTTTTGGGGTTCACTGCTCTGTAAGAACTAGAAATCATATAAGATACATTTTAAATGTGGTTTATACAAAACGTCTCAGTTGTCCAATCTGATTTTATTTTATTTTTTCCAACCTGATTTTAGACATGCAAAAAAGTTTGGCTTTTTCTCTAAGGGCTGACAGAAAATTTTTAAAAATTGATTTTATAAATGCTGAAAGTTTGTACATATTCTTTTCTTGGACTACCCATTTCAACTAAGCTTTTTGGTTAACCAGTTGTCCATGACAATATCTGATAAAAATGGCTTAGCTATCATAGTCACTTTTTCTTCTGCAGTGTTCTTGCTCATTACCAAATACCATGGTATGAATCTTTGTGCCCCCTCAAAATCCATATGCTGAAGCTTAATCTCAGGGTGGTGCTACTCAGAGGCGGGGCATTTGGAGATGATTAGGTCATGAGGGATCTGCCAACATGCCCAGGATTAGTGCTTTTGTCCATGAGGCCAGAAAGAACGTGTGTAGTCCTTCTGCCCTTATGAAGACCCAGTGAGAAGGAGCCATCTTTCAATCAAAGAACCCTTACCAGATGCCAAATCTGCTGGTAGCCCTCAAGGAAACAGTAAAAAATAAATTTTTGGTGTATACAGAACACTCAATTTAGTGTATTTTGCTATAGTGGCCTGAACAGACTTAAACGACAAACTAAACAGCGAACATTTTCAGTGATTTAGGGACTAGGCTAAGTTCTGGGATATAACCTTGCAAAAGGAAAATATGGCCCTGCCTCACGGTGCTTAAAATTGCTCCTAGTGTGTTATCTTTTAATATTGCATTGAACTACAAATGTGTTCACATAATCTATTTTCCCTGTTGCTTGACAACTTGCTAAAAGGTGGGAAATGTAATTTCCATTTTTATATTGTCAGTGCCTTACAAATTACTCGGCCCTTAGCAAAGACTAAATAAGCATCGCTTGAACCAAGTAATAAATAAAGCCCAAACTTCATTTTCTTGAAAAGTTGTAATATCTTTCAGATTCTCTAGATCAACATGGTGGTATAATTTCTAGATTTGTCTCCCTTCAACCAATGACTGGAATTGGAGCAGAAATCTATCAATGATGTTTTTAATGAAAAAGATGATTACGTGATTGCACATTAGTTATTAATTTGGGTATTATGTACAAAAGGAAGTACTTACACAGCAAAGACCTGCTTTCAGAAATTTTCCCCACTGTCTGTCCCCAGCAGATCTCCAGCACAGAAATCAAGCAAGGAGATAACCTCAGGGTCACGCAAGGCCTTGTTGCGGTCTGCACAAATATAATTCATTTGTAGGGAGGGAGGACTTGTTAAGAAGAGATTCTGCAGCTGATGTGTTCCTGCCAGCTCTTAACAGTTTCATCTGATGAGAACTTCCTGGAGTATACATAAGGATTCCTTGGAACAGCTTGCACTTTTAACAAGTTTCATTCGGCTAAAAAAGTTCCTTTGTCCCATCCAGCAGGAAAAATCAATGAACCGTCACGTATGAAGTAGACTCAGTCAATAACGTTGATAATTTAATCCTGGAGATCTGTATGATCTTCTATGCCCCTCTAATAAAATCTGTTCTTTTTCCAGGATTTGTTGCTTGATAAAGTCATATAAATGTTGTCAAGTCTTATAAATGTCTGTCATGTGGCCATCACATCAGTCTTTGATGTCTCTGTGCTTCCTATGGGTGTTCAGATTTCTTTAACAGATGGGGAAGTTCCACATTTCCTGTCTCTCGGTATAGCTGCAGCAGATATGTGGGTAACATGCAGCCAGAATTTACTTAAACTACAGTCACCTTACTGTATTGTTTTTGTTGAGAAATTTTAAAGAATAAACAAGAACAAATAGCATATCAAATATCCATGAATCTACCCATCATTAAGTATGGACAGTTTTTAATATTCCGACATGTTTGATTCAAACATTTTTTTGAAAAATAAATATAATAGAGCATTCTAGATAAAAGTAAAATACCTTTTGCTCCCAATTCCCCTTCTTTCCAAAGGCAGATTTGGTCAGGAGTTTAATATATGTTTTCTAGTCTGTCAAAAAATTATATGTATACATTGGCATACAATATCATTGATTTATATAATTTTCATTAATGTAAATATTCTTTTTTATATTCAAAATTACATATTTTGAGATATATCTTTACACAAGTATATGTGAGAAGTCTATCAAGTCAATATTCTACAATTTATTTATTTGTCCACTTATTATTTCTAGTTTTTCACCATCATAACAGGCTTTAATTGTTTATAATGATCCTTTGTGCACATGGTCAAGTTTCTTCTAGACTGGCGCTACCTAAAAGTGTAGTTCATGAACTGACCTTATAGCTACAAATTATTTCAGTTCATGGCAAGATAAGAAGTCTTTGACGGAAAAGAGACAACTTGTCACATGCAAGGCATACTTAATAGCACATCTGATCTTTCACAGTGAGGTTTTCTCAGGGAAAAAGTGACACACTAGTTTAGATTCTGGTGCAAGTGGATCCAATAAATGATCACGCACATAAAAGTGGCACTTCTGGGTCAGAGGGTGTGTGAATTTCATTTTACTAAGTGTTATTAAACTGCTTTCCAGAGTGACTGTCCAAATGTACTCATTCACAGTACCTGAAAATTCAATTTTTCTCATATTCTTGCTGATTTGGGGATATTTGTTTATGACAGCTTTATTGATATCTAGTTCACATACAATATAATTCACTTACTCAATATATGTAAATTAGTGGTTTTTTGCATATTCACATGGAATGTGGTTGTGCTGCCATTTTCACAATCAACTTTTGAACATTTTCATCAGCACCCAAAGAATCCCATATCTTGGAGCCATTGCTCCCAACCTTCCCACCCTGTAGCCCTAGGCAACCGGTAGTCTGCTTTCTCTACCTACAAATTTGCCTATTGGAGACATTTCATATTCATAGAATCACATAAACAGCAATCTTTTGTGACTGACATCTTTTACTTAGCACATTGTTCTCAAGATTGATGCAAGTTGTGTCCACACTTTCCGTCCTTCTAATGGTCAAATAATATTCGACTGTATGGTTATATCACATTTTACCAATTTGTTAGTTGAACATTAGGTTGTTTTATTATCCTAGCTATAATGAACAATGCTGGTATGAACATTCATGTACAAGATGTTGTGTGAACAAATATTTTCATTTCTTTTAAGTACTTACCTAGGAATGGAATTTCTGGGTCAAAATGATAACCCTGTGTTTAACTTTTTTGGAAAACGGTCAGACTGGTTTCCAAAGTGTCTATCTTACTCATTCTCAGCCCTGGAACGAAATACCCAACACTTACGACTTAAAGGACAGGTTTATTTTGGCCAATGGCTTCGTGCTATGGTTGGCTGGCTCCAAGACAGGAAAAGGATGCACAGAGGCATGGCACAGGAGAAGGTACTCAACTCATGGCAGCCAGGAAGCAGAGAGAGATGGGAGGAGCCAGGGAGGGAGAGACACCCAGCCCCGTCATGTCCCAGTGTCCAGCCTCCAACAGCTGCGCTCTTTAGTGGACTAATCCACTGATGAATATAGCACCCAGTGATCTAATCACCTTCCAAACACGAAAGCCTTTAGGGGGACATTCTAGAGCTAAACCATGGTGTCTGTAACACTGTACATCCTACAAGCAGTCTATACGGGTCCTTATTTCTCCACATCTTTATCAGCATTACTATCTGACTTTTTATTCATATCATCCTAGTTGGTGTGACACGGTTGGTATCCCAATGTGGCTTTGATTTGTATTTCCTTAATGACTAATAATGTCAAACATCTATCTTTTCATGTGCTTATTAGTCATTTTTTATATGCTTTGCAGAAATAGCTATACAGATACCTTGCCCATTCTTTAATTGGTTATTTGTCTTTTAATATTGAGTTATATGAGTTATTTATGCAATTCTAGGTGTAAATCCCATATCATATTTATAATTTTTAAATATTTTCCTCATTAATTTTATTCTTTTCATATTTTTATAATTGTAAATTAATTCAGCTATAAGAAGTAAACCTGGTATGAATCTTAAATGTACAGTTCAATTAATATTTAAAATATAAACCTTAAATTTAAAATATAAACCTTAGTGTGTACATGTATATATATAGACAGGTCATATATAATTATTTTTTATAGCCTACTAATCTAATATATTGCTGGGCTTGATTTTCTACTATTTTGTTAAGGATTATGTGATGATTTTTATGAAAAATATTGGATTTTGGTTTCTTTTTCTTATATAGTCTTTGTTTTTTCTGCCAATATATGCTGGCATAAAACAGGCCTTTTTGCTGAAGAATTTGTGAAGGACGGGTATGATTTCTTCCTAACAGGATTGTTAGAATTCAGCTGTGAACTCATCTGGTTCTGATATTTTTGGTGGCAAGGATTGTAATTACCATGTCTTTTGTATTAGATTCTGAACGTAGTAGATTTTATGGTATAGGGCATTAGATTTTGTTATCTTCCTGTAAGTAATGTTAGTTGATGATTTTGAGGTTTATTTCTATGTTTTGTTCAGTAAATATAAAACTACATCTACATTAAGACAAGTTGAACACCTTATCATCTTATCTCTCCATTGAAAAATTATTTTTAGTAATAATCGTGAAACAAAGTAAATACATTTCACATGGAAATTAAAGGCAGTCCTCTGACTCACAAAAATTTCAAATCTAAACAAAAATTCCCAAAAGATTGCATGAACTGATAGAGATTGAGTAGCATGATTTATGTTTCTTTGTCTTTAAAACCAGTGTATTATCATTTATTTCCAATTTACTGCTTAAAGACAAGAATGTAGAGAGCCATTGAAGTTGGTTACAAAAGCTGCTATTGATACAAGGGCAAAGTTTTCCAAACCAACACAGACTTTGCACATATTAAAAGCTGACTCTGTGACTGAGAAATCTCTGTATTAACTTCCACTTAAACTGGGGTTTCTTAAAGGATGAGCAGCAAAATTGTGATTCCCAGGAGCTGGAGGAGAAGCAGAAAATTAGGAGACGCTAGTTAAAGGGTATAAGATCCAAGGTTCCATTAGTCAAGAGAAATAAGTTCTGCATACCAACTGTACACCATGGTGCCTATGAATAATAATGTATAGTATACTAGAAAATTGCTAAGAGATTTCAAATGTTCTTAACAAAAAATGATAAGTCTGTGAAGTGATAGATTTTAATTAGCTCAAGTCGGTCATTCAACAATGTAGTCTAAATATATCAAGATATCACATTGCATACCATAAGTAATACAATTTTCCAATTAAAATAAATAATGTCAATTTTGAAAATAAAGACAATTTAGGAAATTTTCTTTAAAATGCAAGCTTAACTATGTGAGGTAATGCATTTGTCAACTATCTAGACTTAACCATTCTAATATATATAATATATGTGATAAATATTATAATTTTATAAAGCAAATTTATGAAATGAGCACATGCAATTAATCTCAGAAGGAACTGATTTTTTTTCCTCAAAGTAGTGTTTCATCCGTGATGTTGTTTGGAACTGTAGACACATGGGATAGTATAAAGCAGACCAGAGGTTAGCCAGTCCTACAATTATTCCCAAAGCTCCCGGGGCAATGCCCTCCTTGTTTGTACTCTGGGGGAGCCGGCCTCATCCCCCAACCTTGATACAATATCTTCAGCAGCCCAGGGTCAATCCCATACTGTGACGATAAAAAAAGACACCACAGCTTGTACCTATGCAGTCCAATCTATCTCCTGCCCACCACTGGGACCTCTTTGGTGCCCGGTCTTCCACTCGCATTAGCCCAGCAGTGGCTCTTCAGTGTGCTGGACTGGAGAAACAGAACCCGTATGTCACATCCACATAAAATGACAAGACTGTCCACGTCTGATCTTTTCTGTGGTATATGAGCTGTGAACAAAACTTATGGTGAAAGAGAACACCTCTGTCTTGTCCATGTACTATAAAGTGACAAGACTATCCACATCTAACCTCTTACATGACATCTGAGTTATGATCAAAACTTATGGTGAATGTTTACGTTTTTTAAAAAATGTATTACAGTAAAAGACACATTTCCGTTAGTCCCTTCAGAATCCTCCTCCTCACTTCAAACACACTTATCCCATGGTTCTTGCCACTTTCTGAAGCAGTTCAGGAAATCCTTTTTCTTAAGTGTCATTAATTGCACTGTCATGGCTGCCTCAATGTCCTGAATCAATTCAAGATGTTTCTCTTTCATGGTCATTTTGATTTTGTGGAAGAACCACAAGTTGCATGGTGCCAGACCCAATGAAAAAGATGAAGACATTTCCATTGGATGGCACTCAGCAGCAGCATTTACTGTAGCTTTGATTGTAACTCCTAAAGACACCCATGAAAACAACTTCTAGAACTGATTTAGAAAGTGGCAAGAATGATAGGATAAGTGTGTTTGAGGCAATGGGGAATATATTGATGGCACTGTGTCTTTTATTATAATTTTTAATTTAAACATTCATCGTATATTTTGAATACTCTTTGTAGCTCCCTCTCAGTTAGCCACACAAGGCTGTATGAGAAGGGCCCACCCTATCATTACATAAATATTCAAAGCAACTGACATCTCATATTTTGTAATAAATTGTCTCATTTTAGAATCAATATTATGTTGTAGAAATGAGTTGGATATTTTCAAGCATCCCACTCCTTCAAATTTCAAGAAACTCAGTGCCTTGAACTTTTAACGAATCTTACTAATAAAATCCTCCAGACTGGAGTCTTTTGGTGGGATAAGTTTGACTGTTAAACTGGATGGGATAAATTAAACTGGATTATCCACTATTGGCTTGAGAGGTGTCTAGGTGATTAATAGAGTACACTTCTGGGTGTGCCTGGGCAGGACATGGAGGTCTGACCTTTGGGTCTATATCTGGTCCCACCCCTTCTTCAGTGACATTATTCCCATACTATGATTTCTGACTGCTATGAACTCAGTAGTTTTTGCCCTTCATGCCCTTCCACCATGAAGTTCATTGCCTTGTATTCAGCAGACCATGAACTGAATCCACTGAAATCATGAGCTAAATAAACCATTTCTTCCTTTTAGTTATGTATATCCGGTTTTTGATCCCAGTGATGAAAAGCTGACTAATACAGAACAATTTGACTAAATTTTAAAAATAAAAATAAATGTAGCTTTTGTAAAATTTACACATGCTTCTTATAAAGAATTAAATTAATGCAAGAAAATAAAAAATGAAAGTAAAATGGTCAAATTCTTTTACCTGTAAGTAATCACTAACATTTGAACTTTCATAAAAAAGAATCATGTATTATTTCAATAAAAATATTAAATGTAATTTGTCTGAATTTAAGAGAAGAAAGATAAACAGAAGTAAACCCAGTGAGATCACTTAACATTCACACAAATGCTTCTTCGCTCAATGAGATATTTTCCAACAAAAGGTTCCTCTGAAATTAAGGACAGATACTAAATAAAACATTGAGAGTATAGTCATTATGTCTCATTAAACGCACAATATAATTTTAGACAGTGCCTGACAATTACCTGCAGGGCTAGATAAATGCATTAGCAATTTCATCATTCCTATTTTCATTTATATTCTGTAATCATAACTCCCAGCATTATTTAGTATTTGTTTTCTACATGGGTAAATTTTAATGCTTACTACCAGCGCAGTCTTCTTTTCTAAGCTCTTTATTTTCCTTCATCTAGGGATTTTCGTCACCTACTTCTTTGCTAACAAGGGCTTGTACAAAATTTTGTATGCAGGTCTATTTCCTTTATACCTTAAGGTAGGGCCAGCTTCACTAGTGAGCATCCGTGCACTAGTACAGGTCCCACATTGAGAAGGACCTTGTGTCTGGGTTAATATTCTGATATCCCTGTCTTGAAATTCTTCCCTTTTTTTTTTTTTTAACCAGACTCCTCTCCTTTTCATTTTACATTGAGCCTCACCAATTATGTAGCTGGTTTTGATTGAAGACATTTGTTTGGACATGGAAGTCCTTCCAAATACAAGGCCAACGGCTTCTGGTATTCCGTGCCCCCACGCAGAAGATGGCGGCCGTTTCGCTCTTCTTGCCTATGAGGTTATTTGATACCGCTCCCCTGATGCCCAAAGAAATCCTTCTACAGCTTTGAAGTGCGACCACTTAACCAGAGTACATTTCTGTGTTCAGCTTCCTGTACTAGTCTTTTGGAAGCCAGAATCTTCCTGCCTCATTCTGCAGACTCGTTTCAGGAAATTATTCTTGTGTAATGTAACTCAGTGTTTTTAGAGGAAAGAAGCTGACCCGGGTCTCCATGTGTTCTTTATTAAGCTGCTCCCCGCCACTTGGACCTCAAACTTCTATCCACAGCAGAGGGGGAGTAGCTCAATCCTCTTCTTCCAGAAGCAAGGAAAGAGATCCCTTAAGAAGGCAAAACAAAACCCTGACCCTAAGTCCCTCTCCAACTAAATTATGGTCAAATTCCCTGAAACGCTGTCTGTTATTACTGATCCCTGCCTTGCAGTGGGGCAGGCTTCCTGCTGTTGCTAATCTCTTGGCGCAACAATACCCATCTGTCATTGCAACTCTGCCATCACACGTGGAAACAATTTCTTGCACTAACCCCCACCCAGCCCTGTTTTAAATAATTAAAGTAGTTTTCTTTCCTTTGCTCACTCCTGCCTGATAGTCCATAGACAGCTATTATAGTCATAGTCATTGGATTGCACTGATTATTTGCATTGTTTAAATCCTGTCTAAATTTTCTTTTTTTTTTTTTTCCTTTGGTCTTCTTGGTCTATCCAGGGGTTAAAAAGCCAAAACATTGTATTAAAAGACTTGTGAATTTTGCCTTACAGTTCTGTCATTTTAAAATTCTTTTATTTAAGGCTTATTCCTCTATGTTGTTCAATGTACACAAGCTTAAAACAGTTGTGTTTTCAAGTTGGAATTCTAAGTCAATTTCTGCTCATTTAAGTGCATGAGCTCTTCCAAACTTCAATGGCCCAAGACTCCAATGGGAAAAATATGTTTTGAGTTGGCACATTTCCTTTCTGTGTGCAATATTTTTCTTTCTCTGGTTTCTCCACCTAGTGATCAAGTATGCTTTTTCTTCCAAACATTGTTTCTAGTTCCCTAGTTTCACATCTTTTTCCCAGCAAGGTGATAGATATATTCTTCTTCATAGTATATGTTTGCATGTGTGTGAAAGTATTTAATATACACCTATCCATATATTTCCACTTTGATAGAATGTATACAGCGACTTTATAGTTTTTTTTCTTCCCTTGCCTGTTTTTCAGGTACTGGAATCATCTGTTTAAAAGCATTTACTGCTAAAATCATCAGAGCTTAGATTTTGGAGAAGAAACTTTTCTTTAATAACTTTTTCATTTTTTATTATTTGTACAAGTTCTCTACTTTTCTCATGGTGATAATTTATGTTTTTTATACTACTGAAATTTTATCAAGATTTTCAGCTCTGTTACCATTATTTCATTCTAATTTGGATTTAATATAAAAAATGTAAAACTCCTTAATGTAATTTCTTTATAAAAATTTCTTTATATATTCTGTGTAACCAAAGAGAACAAGTGGCTAATTTTATTCTTCTATAAATAAATACTTTTAAATTAAATTTTATAGAATACGTATTTTACTTTGAAAACATTAGTAAAACATGCCTATTTTATATTTCATGTAAAATATATAAGACACATAATGAAAAAGTAACACCTCTCTCTCATTCTACCCTTTCCTGCCCTGAGACAATGCTATATTATTATATTTCAACCCTCTTATGCATGCAGTGTGGGCACAAACACACAATACACATTTTGTTGTTTGCTTTTTGTTTTTCTAAAAAAAGGATACATCACACGCATTAATCTTTAACTTCCAGTTTTCAACATTAAGGTAGTTGGATATCCCTTGAAATTACTATGCATAGAGTTACTTTATTCTTTTCAGTAGCTGCATGATACTTTATTTTATGGAAATATCATAAAGTTTGCAATCTTTCTATTAAAGAACTTTAAGTTTTTCATTCTTTTGTATACTACGAATAATTCTGCATAAATTTTAATCTATGTGATTCTAATTCTATATTATGGATTCCCTCCAAGAAAATTGCTACAAAGGAGTATTTTTCACATTAACATTTATTACCGGATTACTTTAGCATCAATTTAAACTTTTTTAGCAGTGTAAAATAATGAGTTTCCTCACATTTCCTTCAGCTATGAATATTATTAGTAATTTTAATTGATACCAATCTTATGAACAGAAATGTTACCTCTGCATTTTAATGTACATTTATGTGTACTAATGATACTGGCCTTTTGATACACACTTGTAAAGTCTAACACATTTTCCTTTTTATAAATGTCCTGGGTATATCCCTTTATTCCTTGAATTGTCTGCTATTCTCTAGGCACTCTACATATTCGGCACTGTAAGCCACTCTGTCATGGCCATTTAGTCATTTGACTTACAGCCATTGAGAGCCCACTGCTAAGGTCGAGGGCTTGGGGATAGACAAAAACAATGAATAATCTGTGTCTGGTAAACCAAAGTTATATAATTTCAGGTAGTGTCCAAACCCCTAAGAAACATCAGGACAGGTAGAAAATGATGGGGGTGGGGATCTCAAGTATGCTGATCCATTAGGCTTATAGAAGAAAATATTTGAAAAAAAATTCAAATGATATGAAAGACAAGCTTATGGTAACATTTGAGGTCAGTGTATTCCAGGCCAAGACAAATGCAAATGGTAAGAAATAAATTCAGTATATTTGAAGAGCAGCAAGAAATGTAGAGAGAATGATAAGGGATATTTACAGCAGATGGAGAATGACATGGGGCCCTGCAAAGGGCCAGGCAGGATGAAGCATCCTAGGCCACGGTGAGGAGATCAGATTTTACTGTGAAATGGGATTGGATTTTTATTGTGAAGTTGATTATATGGAAGGTTTGCAACTGGAGAAATGATTTCGTGGTCTGATTTGTGTTTTGTTTTGTTTGTTTTGTTTTGCTTGATCACTTGGGTGACTTGTGGAGAACATCACTGAGGAAGTCAAGTGTGAGCTGGGGAGCTTGTTAGCCTTCAGTTGCTTTGACAACTAAAAGGAGGTAAGGTTTACTTTGGCTCACAGTTTCAAGAATTTCAGTGCATTGTCAGCTGGCTCCAGTACTTTTGAGTTTGGAGTGAGGCAGGACATCGTGGCATAAAGTCATGGTGGAGGAACGATGTTCACCTTGGGGTAGCCGGGAAGCAGAGTGAGAGAACAGAAGGCATTGAGGACAGGATGTACCCTTCAAAGGCACACCCACACACAACCTATTTTCTTCAACTGGGCCCCACTTCCTAAAACCCCATTCAGCTCTGAACTCATCAATGGATCCATTGATGAGGTTAGTTTATCCTCATCCAATCACTTCTCTGTGCCCCGCCTCTGCAAACTGCTGCACTAGGAATGAAGCCAGTGAGAATCTTTGCGGGCCATTCCATATTCAAACCATAGCAGGGAGTTTGGTGAGAGGGGAACTGGCGCAGTCTAGGAGAGATGTTAGCGATGTACAGAAAGAGGACGTGCGGTTGTATAGAGAATATAATTTGAAAATAGGGCAAAGCAGCTTTCCAGGGATTGGATGCAAGAGGTGATTCATAGGATTTTTTTGTCCTGGTCAAAAGCTGAAATTCTTTGCCAAAATGATTATCCCTGGAGTGTGGAATAAGACATAAAGAAATCAGAAATCCTGTCTTGAACATGCTAAGATTGAGGTGCAACTTACACAGCCATTAGGAGGTGCTGCCTGGTAGCTGGATGGGCTCAGTTTGTCTCTTAGTGGAAGAGTTCAAGTGCAAATGTTAAACTGGGGATCGTCAGAGCAAGGGTGACATATGGTACCATGAGATTCCTTTGTTCTCATAGGAAGCACCTAGAGATCCCAGGAGAGCTGAGAAAAGAAGACTTAGGCTCTTGGAGAAGAAAGGAATGAATTAGGGGTGACAGGAAGAAGTAGTGAAATAAGAAAGAAAGCAGGAGATGGTCACATTCAAGAAAGAATCCAAATGTTCAAAGTATTTCAAGTATAATGGTCCTAGAAACTCTACCAATTGCAATATCTGTTTAAAATATCTCTTTTAGACTGTTCTTCAACTTCTGAATTTCTTTAGGATTTATTTTGCCATAATCAAAATAATTTCTTCCAGCCAAAATAGTAGAAATTTTGACACAATTTCTGCTGTTATTTTAATGAAAACACTAAATCTTTATAGATGTTTCCTGCAGATGATGTGAAATAAGGGTCTGGTTTCATCTATTTTAGACAGATTCAAGTATGCCAGCCCCAGTAGTAGAGCATGCTTTCCGAATGGAACTAAAATGTGTTCACTGTACCATGAGCTATTGTACTGCTGGCTATTACTTCAATGTTAATATGTGTGTGTTTGTGAATATATATATATATATATACATAAATATATTAAGCAGAAACACATATAAAACAATGACACAATATTTGCTAATTCAGTATCAACTCTAACTTTATAAAACATAACTAATGTGAATAAAAAGAATCTACTGTATTTCCGACAGGTACACATTTTAACGACAAATTCTTGACACTCAAACCATTTTAACTATGTTCAGACAAAATAGATAAAATAAGATCTGATTACCTTCTTCAAAATCACACACACACACACACACACACACACTGACAACCAAGTTAATGATGTAATATTAGCTAAGAACAATCATTACCTCTTTCTCCTTGGCCCAGTCCTTGAAGATTGCTGGACTAGTAAAGGTGTATTTCCAGTTGAAACTGTGAAGGCAGTTGTCTCAGAATTTGGAAGTTGTTAAGTGCACATTTTTACATTCGTCTTTCTCTCTGCAAAATACCCATCATCTATTTTGTAAACTGACCCGCTGCACTGATGCTTAAAGAAAAGCACAACCAAAGGGATCTTCTGAAATCCATTTCCCATAGAACAGGTGACTCATTAAAAACATACACATGGAAAATAATCCAGGGTGTGGATATAGAACTAAAATGATCACTTTTAAAGTAAGAAGAGGATTATTATCTGTGCTATAGTAGCAATTATTATTAAGAGCTCTAACCCAGCAGCAGGAGCCACTGAGCTTTCTTTGGAACGGCCATGGCTTCTATTTCTTTAGGAAGCATTAAATAAAACACTGGCTGGAAAGTGCCTCATTATTTCTGTAAACTATAAATGCAGCAGTGATCGTGCAGTAACCCTGAAGTGTCCCGCGGTCAGGTCAAAAGTGGGTGCTCGGCCGCGTCTCACTCTCTTACCACCCCACAGTGTCTTTTAGATGCACCTCCCCCGTGGGCTCCCTGCCTTCCAACATGCCTAGAGCAAGCGCTCTCTAACTTCATCTTGCCCTTATCCATGAAGTCTTCCTTCCAGATGGCCTTTCTAATTCCCACCCATTTCATAGAGCATTCCAAGAATCAACTCAAAAGGTTTTCCCCTTTTCACGACTACCAAATTACACCTATAATTTGTCCCATGTATTTTAACATTTAAAAATCAATTAAAATTTTATTTGGTATGTGTATGTGTGTTATTTTCAATATACCTGCAGTTATTTCATGTATGCAACCTCAGTAAGATTTGGACAGTCCAGATTTTGTATTATATTTTTTCTCCTGTTTTCCTGAGCATTGAAGCATAAGCATTTTTAACAGACTCCTGAAAGTTGAATTTTACTCCTTAATATAACTAGCAAATCAAGCTTGATTAAATCAGGTTAAAGCTGCAGGAAAAACACCACTCTGGGAGGTTGAAGCAGGAGGACCTTAACTTCAAGCCCAGCCTGGGCAACTTAGCCACTTAGTGAGATCCTGTCTCAAAATTTAAAATAGAAAAGAGATAAGGATGTAGCCTGGTGCAATGGTCATGGGTTCAATCCCCAGTGCTACAAAAGAAAAAGAAAAAGAATGGAAGGAAGAGGGTCAGGGATTTAGCTCAGCGGTTCTGGCGCCTGCAGCATAAGCACAAGGTTCCAAGTTTGATCCCTAATACCAAAAAAAAAAAAAAAAAAAGAATGGAAAGAAGGAAGGAAAAGAAAGGAAAGGAAAAGAAAAGATACCTGCAGCAGATATTCCCTGAGGAAGTAGAGACTGCAATAAGGGATTAAAGACAAAGAAGAATTTTACTTGAATTCTTTAAATAAAAATTTTACTTATATACTTTAAAAACAATAATGATGGGGCCGGGGATTTAGCTCAGTGGTTCCGCCGCCTGCCTCGCAAGCGCAAGGACCCGAGTTCGATCTCCGGTACCAAAAAATAAAAATAAAAACAATAATGATGGAATTACTTTTTATAATCATAAAGGCCTCCCAATTTTCCTAGCTTGCACACTACACTACAACCAAAGTGCACATTTCCCCCACTGCTGTTTCATCTTTCTGTGGCTTTTCATTTTCTATCCTTTGACATCATCCCTTTGAGGAGGGTTCAAGCCCCCAGTGTGCTAAAATCTACATGAACTTGGCCATGTGACTTAACCTCTCAAAGTCTGTTTCCTGGTCTGAAAAACAAGGATGGCAGTGAGACGTCTATGAAGAATTTCTGAAAGATTAAGTGATATTAATCTTGCAAAGCACCCTCACTCTCTCCATCCTTTGAAGCGGTGTTTATCAAATGTAAAGACCGACTTCTTTGGTTGGGAGTGAAACAAACTAGCTCGGTTCCAGCTAGGATTTTTGGCTAAGTGAAAATAAGCAAAGTTGAGTAAAGCACAGCGCAATGGCACATAACAGAGTATGGAGCCAACATAATATGGGAACGTCAGATCTAATGAATACGAGCTCTACATTGTGACATGAAATGCATTTATCACTGCAAGCACAGGAATGAAAAAGTTAGACATTGATTTAGCATCAGTTTATAATACGTGACATTCATGAAACCATCCCCGATGATGTCATTCAGAAACCCACCTGTTCCCTTGGACTCTTTCTTTTCCCTCATCCTCTGTGGTACCAGTGAGTTCAGCATCTCCTTGAAGATCTAGGGCATATACTGTTCATCTCTGGAGGCTTGGCAAGGCTCTTAGTATATTTGTGCACTGTAAATGCTAAAAAAGTATTTCGTTAATAGATGAGTAAGTGTTGCCTATATTTAATGCTGGTAGTGACAACAATAAGGGAAGTCTGAAGGAGAATCTAGAGGCAAATATTCAGGAATTTACTTCATATCCACTTATTGCAGTGAGGAACTCCTACCTGTCTTTATAAAATAGTTTTGAACTTTTAAACGGGGAATTTTGTTACTGAGTGACACATCTTGCTCCCAATCTATGACAGACAGGACTTTCTAAACTGGACTTTATGGATAAGCCTTAAGAATACATAAACTGCAGCTGTACAAAAAATCTGCTTCTGTGAGTACAAACACACACACACACACACACACACATTCTGGAGAGTGAGAATCTAAACCTTTATACTTTCCAAGGAGATGTTTCCTGATCTAAGAAATCACAAATACAAGTCAGGATACTCCCCAGTCAGTTAAAAATAATTTACAAACTTTCTGCACTTCCTCTTGGTCCATCCTCTTTTATCTTAAACAACAACCAGCTAAGGTTAGTGATCAGGATTCTCTCCCTCCTCCAAAGGGCATCCTCTGCCATTAAATGAGGTGCAGAAGAGACTCTTCTAGGCCATTAGGAAATCATTTAGACCCTGATCTCCTGTGGCCTGTTCCCTTTAGTAATCTCTTGCTGGCTTCTCTCAGCAATAAATCACCTGTCCGCTCAGCACCTCAACAGTTCTCAGAATATGTGATCATCTGGCTCTTTCACCCTCTCTGGCACTACAGAAACCCGGTGAGTGGGGTCAGCCTCCTGAGGTTCAGTTTGCATTTGGTGTTTTAGCTACCTTACATAAAGGAGGAACAAGAGGTAAGCCTTTGCAATGAATGGTTCCGTGGGACTTCACATACTGGATCCTCCCAGGGCAGCTGCATTGCAAACAATGGGGAGATGCACCATCTAGTGTGTGAGAGGGATTCACAAGGTCTGCACTTTTGGGTACAGCCTGTCTTTGGACCCCCGCACCCATGGGACTCTCTCCTGCACACTCCCCACAATTAGCCAGAAGGGCTGGGCAGCAGCACCTTGTAAACACGGTGGCTATTTAAACAGCTCCTGCCCTTCACCTGGAAGGTCACCCTCTCTTCTTCATACTAATTTCCACCATTAAAATTGACCTTGCTTCCCAGAGATGAGATATCAGAGCCCTAGGGAAGCTGATCTAAGGTTTAAACCCAAGTAAAGATTTCCAGCCAGCCAAGGAGGACATAGACAAATTACCTTCTGATTTTTCTGGGGCAAGGTATGCCACCTCAGTAAAGAAATGCTCAGATGCCATGTCAGTAGTTCTCCAGAGCTGCCATCTTCTGGCCTCCAAGTAATCAGCTTTAAGGAAAGCGGTCCAGATTAGATACTAATTCAAGACTGGACTCTCCCAGCAGCAATTAAGAGGAGGCAGGAAAACATCGTCCTGGTAGGTGAAAGAAATAGATTCTTGATTTTTTTTTTCCTTCTTCATGGGATCTAAAAGCCTGAAACATAAATCTCTTCCAATACCACTCCCCTTCTGCCTTAATCTGAGCACTTATCTTACAGGCAAACAGTTTAGTGGTGAAATCAAATCACTTAAAAGGTGACTTTTTGGAGAAGAGCATCTTAGGACAGGAGCAATCTCCTTATCCATTATCCACTTAAAGTGCAGTTTTCTATTCTTGGCTGAGTTTTCTTTTTCTCCACTTCCCATTAGGCTTCATGCTGTTTCACTTGCAGCAGTGGCAGCCTTGGGAACATCCAAACTTGTCTGCCTTCCTTCCTTGTTGTCCATCACAGCTCCTTCGCTCCTGCATAAGCAGGATATTGCTTCTCCACGTGGGCCCTGATGAGCCAGACACACACCAGGTGGTGTGCATTTGCCATGAACTCCGCTTGACCAACAGTCAGTTTTTGGAGCAGAATTTGCCAAGTACCCTGACTTTTCATACACACAGGAAAGGGAGCTTGAAAAATCCCATCCCTCTTCACGGGGCTCTGCAGAGGGACCTGTGTCTCTCTTGCTTCCCAATGGCCACTCTACCCAGCAATTACATAAACTTTTGCTTTTAGTTGATTAAACTTCCACCTGAACTCAAAGTCTTAGTGATGATGTGATAATATAATGAGAGAAGACTTTTCAGAGATGCCTATTTCGCATCTCCTGGCACACACTTCTTTCTTCTCCTGAGGTAGTTGTGCTCAGTGCTCGGCATTTGGGAAGTGCACATTCATTCCTCCAATGGCACTGTTCCTGAAGTCTCTCTGCCTACTTGACCGGAGGCAGGAGCCCCAGGGCCCCTCTGGCCCGCTCACTCCTCTGTATCTTCACCTCAGCCTCACCAGGGAGCGGCCAGCCTGGGCACTACACCTGTTTGCTTACACACCATGGAGACCACCACATCCTCTTCAGCACATGGACTCCCAGACTCCCCTAACCTCGCCCCTGTGCCCTCTGAATGGATGTTATGTTTTAGATCCAAAATGTGCCCCTCAATTCTCAAGTGTGTGGAAGGTATTAGGGTCATGGGGGTGGTGCTATACTTATCAATGAATCCATTGATGAGTTCGGAGTTGAACATGCCGTTAGGAGGTGGGTCACTTGAAGGATACATTCTTGTTCCTCATTCTCTCTCTCCCCACCCCTCAACCTGGCTACTATAGTATTATAGACAGCTAAGTTAAATAGATATCTTGTAGGTAGTTAGACAGGGCCAACCCTCCAGGAGTCAATACGAAAGACAAGTGAGACACACTCACTGAAGGTCAGCATTGTAAAAAGAGAAAAAGTACTACATTCATATCCTTTCCCTAGAGATGAATAGTGGTGATTAATATTCTAAATAGGCATCAATCTCCCTAGACCATTTCCTTTCTGGAAATCCCTTGTTCATTGTATGTATGCTTGCTACATGACTTGTTTCCCCTTTGATCCCCATTTAATCAATATTACCTGGATGACTGTACTTATAATCTTGTTGGTTGATCATAGTTTTGTCCTACCTTATGCCCACCTTGTTATTTCCTATTGGATCTTATTAGTTGACTATAGTTTTGTCCCACTTTATACCAGCTCACCTTGTGGCTTTGCTGCATTAAAAACCCCTGGAAAACAAAGCTCTGGCCAATGCAATTTCTGTGTCCCCTCCTGTCTCTCAAAAGGCAGAAGCTGTCTTTCCCCCAATAAATATCCCTTACTCTTAACCTCTGTTGTTCCTAGAATTCATTCTTGGATTTTTGAGAACACAAACTTGCATTCTGGATATCTAGCAGGTTGGGAGTTATATTTCCCTTGTTCGGATTATTTTTGCTTAAGAATTACTTGGTGCCCTATATCAATGGGATGAACAGCTGCCCTCTCCCCAGGCTCTTCCCTCTTCCACCACACCATTTCTGCCTTGGAGCCAGCTGATCATGGACTACCACCTCATTTAAGTTACAGGTGTTTGGTATTTTTGTCCCAGGGACAAGAAAGTAAGACAATGGACCACTCAGAAGCAAATTCACTACATCCTCAATCTCTTGTTCTAAAGCTGTGGTTTGCCCTGAAAGCAGCCCTGTCTCCAGTGGGGTGGCTTTCGTCCTCCTCAGCCCTCAAGTCCTCCTCGTTCCTCCCTTCAGACACCATCTTTAAAGCACATGCATCAAACCTCACCACCAAGTACTCTGCCTGGTGCAAGTTAATTTATGCCATGACCACAAAACCCCCCTTTCTTAGAAAATTACTGTTTCTGGTCCATTAGTCCAGTCTTGTGACAGTTCCTAATGATTTGACACAAGTGACCTTCCCTTCCTTTGCCATCACCTAAGAAAATCTGGACCCTGAGCTAATCCATCTTTCTGCTTTTTCTCCACCTGCTCTGGAGCAGCTGACATTGGGTGGAGAAAATAACGAAACCCATGTTGCTGTGTCACTTCCTATGTATAAGTCTCCTCCCAGCTTCTAGGTCACTATTTTGCAACTTTTCTTTCTACTACATTCGCTCTTTCTTCCTAACTGATAACTTTTCTTCTCATTCTAAGACCCACTCTCCTAGTTCTCTTGCTATCTCTGTCCTTTCTCCTTCTTGATTTCCTTTGCTTTATTCTTCTTACCTTTCAGATCTCTAAACCTTGGAGTGTTCCAGGGTTCTGTCCTCAGGCTTTTTCTCTATTTACATATACCTGCTGGAGACCTCACCCAGTCCTGTGGCTTCAAAAATACACCCATGTCTGTACCTTCAGGCTGGATATCTTGAATTTGAGGCACAGATATGTACCTGTTTTCCCAACATCTCCACCTTGGACATCCAACAAACATTTTTAATAAACAAGTAAGTCCAAAATTGATCTTCTAATGTTCCCAACAAGTAAGCCTGAGTTTCCTAAATTTTAAAAACTCAGCATATTGCAGTGCCATCCTAATTTCATTAGAGGAAAACTTAGCATCACTTTTGATTCATCCTCTCCTCCCATGCATACAATTTCAGTCCATTAGAAAATCATCCTCTACCAGCCAAGCACATCTAAAACTGTGTCTACTCACTTCTTATACATGGACTCCTAACATCCAGCCTTTGAAAAGTCCCTGCCACTGAAGAAGGGCTCCATAATTGTCTGCTGATTACCAAATGGACTATGGCTTGTGACCATGCAGAAAGGGGTAACTTCTAATTTCATAATTAAAATAAATCTAAGTGACATGGCATCATTGGACCTTTCAGGAAGATTAATGTGACACTGGAGAGGTGAGAGAACTGCAGGATGGGTCTAGTTATCAATGAGCTGGCTCCACAGCAATCTCATGACCTTTTTAATTCGCATTTATATTTTGGCGAAACACGTAAATGTATGTCAATACTTTCAGACTTGCTTTTCCGGAGCTTAAATTTCCAATGTCAATCTAAAAATGCTAGACATCAACATGGCTATCTGTGGTTTGGCAGTTAATATTCTTCCCTAGCTCCTTATCAAACAAATTTTAAAAAAACATCCATTCAGATATGCTAGCAGAAGGCCTGTAGGAATTACATAAGATTTGGTATGTGAAGCCATGTTTACGGAATTTCAACTTTTTTTTTTTTTTTTTTACTTTTTGACTATCTAAAATAATTGCAAGTGTTTAAATATTTATTTATTCAGTCTTTACAATCCACTTCCTCCCACACTCAATCCTTCAAAATGCTCAGTTGAAGGTTTGGTAGCACTGATTCCCACGAAGGATAACTCTGTGTGCTTTGAATGCCACAGACACATATTTCAGTCTGCTGGAAGAGATCACCCCAAAGTAGTTGATTGCCCTGTAGGACACTAAATGGTTTTGGTTTTTTTCTAGCTCAAAAAGTGATTTCAGTAAGTCTTTTCTGGTGGACTCTTTAACTTTACTCCTCTAACACTAGTCTGAACTAGTTTTGCCTTTTCACTGGTTTTCTCATTAATGAGCTATATAAATCTAACCTGTATGCATGCTATGTATTTTTATGAGAAACATGTTTTTACATGACAAGACTATCACTTTCCTGTTTGTGTTAACCTTGTTTCTTTGTTTGTAAATGCTTTCTATTGATGCAGAAAAAAGCGCACAACTCATAGAAATAAAAATCCAAAGATTTTTTTAAAAATAAAGTGAGCGTATATATGTAACCATCAGCCCCATCAAGAAATAGATCATCATTAGCTGTCTGCAACAGACTCTAGTCCTACAAGTCTCACCCCAAAGAGAGCCTTTTCTCTACCCTCAATCATCATAGATTAGTTTTGCTTAGTTTTGTACTTTATATAAGTGAAACCATATGTATTTGACTTTCAACGTATTTGTAAGGTTTATCCAAGCATTTGACATAGGAGTAGTTCATTCATTCATCACTTTATAGTACATTATATGGATATACTACAATTTTTCTGTCCATTTTACAACCCATGGACATTTGTCTCCAATTTAAGATTACTATGAATATAGTTGCTGTGAAGATTTTTGTAAATGTCTTGTTAAAATTTAAGTCAGCATATGAAAGAGTTGAATTGCTGAGTCAGGGAGTATACCTGTGGTTAGCTTTTACAGATACTATGAAAACCATTACATCAGTTTATACTCCCACGAGCAGTACACAAGAATTACTTTTGTTCCATATTCTCACCAACACTTGGTAATGTCAGGTTATTCAATGACAGCCATTCTTCTAGATGGATGTTGGGATCTTATTTTAGTTTCAACTTGTGTTTTCCTCATGACCAATTATGTTAATTAACTTTCCATATGTTTATTGGCCTTTGGATGTTGCGTGTGTGTGTGTGTCTGTGTGAAGTACCTGTTCAAATCTTGTGTCTTTTTTTGTACTTGGGATTGAACCCAAGGCCTTCACAATGAGTCATATCTCCACTCCTTCTTACATTTTTATTTTGAGACACGGTCTTGCTAAGTCACTGAATTGCCCAGGCTGGGTTCAAACATGCAAT